GGCATGTGTGTGCATTCAAAATCTTGGAAGGAGAATGGAGGAGAAGGGATTATGGTATTGCCATGACCCCCGAGGGGTGGTTTTTCATTTTCCCTCTCTGTCTGTCTCTGGTGAGCGCATGCTCCATATAGCAAATATTTTTATTTTAAATCATTGTGGAAATACATTATTGAAAGGATTCCTGAATACTGATGATTTTTTTCTGTTATTCTGAAATAAATATTTCAGAGATGATGTGAAAGTATATAAAAGCATGTACTACAACTAAACTGCATCTGTCTAGTAATTTAGAGAAGCAGAGTTTATTCAGAAGTTTATAGCGTACAAAGACGCAAGATTAATTTTAACATTTTTGCAACTCTTGCTGTAGGAGAGAGAGAAGAAATTCACTTCAAAGTTGAAAGTGACTGTTTCATGTTTGTAATACATACATCAGCCTTAGCTGTGATTACAACAAGGAAATTGATAATGAAGTCCTTAGTTGCTTTTGTTTTCCTGGAATTTACTGATTTCTTTTAAGAAAAATGACAACCTTTGTTAAAGCAGTTAGTTGCTGTACGTGAACATGTTTGTCCATGTGTTCTAGATAATGCTTTAGTGCTATCAGCGAGTTTGTGTTCTTTACCCTTATTCAGATATTCGTACTGTATCGTGGTGTAAATAATATGTACAGCCCTGTGCTGCATAATGTTTATGTCCGTGACAGATCGTGTGTATGATGGTGGTCCCGTAAGTTTATAATGGAGCCAGACAAGCTGATGGCATAACATAACGGTTATGTCACGAAACTCCAACATGGCCGACCACAGTTCGAGTCCTGGACCTGAGGCTTGAAACTCACATTGGGCTTGTGTGCGTGTGTGCCCAAAAGAAGAATGGAGGAAAAGGGATTGCAGCGTGGTCATCCCCCCTGGGGGAAGTGATTTCTTGCTTCCTGTCCCTCTGCTTTGACGAGCACGCACACCCTTACAGCAAAGATAGCTCTTAAAACAATAAAAAAGATATAATAGAGCTGAAAAATTTCTGTTGCTTAGTGGTTTCATGGCTGCCATAATGTTGTAGTGCGACTCGTGTTTATAGTTGTGCCAGTCTAAACATACCTACTGTGCCACCAGTCACGTGAAAGTACAGTGTGTCCAATATGTACAGTGCATAATACTCGATAATAGTAATAAGTGACTGTGCTACTGGTCTGTGTATTTACTAGTCTGTGCTTTCTATTATTTTAGGATGTACTCATTCTGCTTAAGAGGGGGAAAAGTTTATTGTAAAACCGTATTGCTATGCAGTGCTAACAGTAGCGTTATAGATCTTTTCTTCACTTACTATTTTTTGGAGAGGTTTTTGCCGTAGGGCACGTGTGTTCGCCAGAAAGACAAAGGAACAGAAAGCTAGAAATCACCCCCCGGGGGATGACCGCGCCACAATCCCTTCTCCTCCATTTTCTCTCAGGATCTTGGGCACGTATGCACACGTGCCCAGCATGAGTTTAAGCCACCGGGTCCTGGACTCAAACTGTGGTTGACTACATTGGAGTCCAGCGACATAGCCATTATGCCAACTGCTAGTCTGTTTAAGCCATTGGGTCTGGGACTCGAACCGTGGTCGACTACATGGGAGTACAGTGATGTAGCCATTATGCCATCTGCTGGTCCCACCATATCTTTTAATTGTATCATTTACTTTTATGGTTGATTTAATTTTGCCTTTTTTTGGTTTATCCTGGCCCTTCTGGTGAGGTAAGTTGTGGAGGTGGATGATAATGATAGTAATAATCCTGATCCTGTGTAGGCCTTGGCTAATGTGTGTGTTTGTGTCTTAGTTAAATACATTTAAAAATAGGAAAAAGTGTATAGAATAAGGGTATCAAGCAAGAAGATATTTTTGTACACTTGTACAATGTATTTGTGTATTGCAATGAATCATAAGTTTTAAAAAATTAAAAGTTCATAAAAATTTAAAAAATTTAGAGGCCAGGTGACAGCATAGTAGTAACCCAACTGGACCCACATAGGAAAGATGCTAGGTTCAGATCCTGAGACCTCTCCAGGTGCTCTGGGTGTGTACATGCCTGTGGTCCAGGATGAGAACTGGAGGGTGGATCATAGCATGAAGACCTCATTGAAAGTATCTCTCTGTAAAGAAATAAGTAAACTTAAAAAAAGGGACTAGCAGATGGTGTAATGGTTATGTTGCTGGACTCCTACGTAGTTGACTATGGTTTAAGTCCTGTACCTGGCAACCTAAAACTCATGCCAGGTGTGTGTGCGTGTGTGCCCACAATCCCAAGAGGAGAATGAAGGAGAAGGGATTGTGGTGTGGCCATCCCCCCCTAAGGTGCGATTTCTCACTTTCTGTCTCCCTTAGTCTCTCTGGTGAGCATAAATGCTCCATAGCATAAAGCTCTCTAAAGATAAATAAAAACAAAAAGGAAACCATAAAAGTACAGTGAAAGAAAGAGAAGTTTATTGGGCAATCTGTAGCTTAGCAGTTAAGGAGCCAGATCCTGTATGGCTAATCCTGGTCTGAAACACAGTCCCAAGTGGCTTAAAAATCATGCTGAGTCTATGTGCGTGAATGCCGAAAATCCTTTTTCCTCCATTTCTACATAACAAGTATAGGTGCCATATACATGTTTATTTAATTTTATTTATTCATTCATTTGTTTTAATTTAACCAGAGACAGAGAGAGACTCTAACTGTGGTTGGCCATGTGGGAGTGTCCAGCGCCTTAACCACCATGCCACCTATTGGTCCTGAGGTGCCATATATATGTTAATGAGTGAATCTCTCTTTCCAGTAGAAAAAACCATCAACGGTTTTCCAAAACTTAATGTTTGGGAGTTTTAGAACCTTGTTTATTCGCTGCCGTGATTAGAGAAATTCAATAAACTTAATCTAAGGTATTTTTGCAAAAGGCTGATTAAAGATCCTAATCCAGGGAACCAGCAGTTAGCGTAATGGCTATGTCGCTGGACTCCCACATAGTCGACCGCGGTTCGCGTCCCAGACCTGGTGGCTTAAAACTCACGCCGGTCGCGTGTGCGTGCGTGCCCAAGATCCCGAGAGGAGAATGGAGGAGAAGGGATTGCGGCATGGCCATCCCCCCTGGAGGGTGATTTCTTGCTTTTTGTCTCTATGTCTCTCTCTGTCTGGCGAGCGCACGCGCCCTATAGCGAAAATCTCTCCAAAAAAAAAAAAAGATCCTAATCCATTTTTTTCTTTTTGAATGATTTTTTGAACCACTCTCCTCTGACATATCTAGGAAACCCGTGATAGGCCAGATGGTCAAGGCAAGCTGAACTCATCTGTTTTGGTCTTCCAGAATCTCAACCAAGTTACCATTTTAGTTTCATACATGATTGTGTTTGTTTTCTTTTGTGTTGTCTGTATAAAATGCCTGTGTACGGGAACCAGCAATTAGCGTAATGGCTATGTCACTGGACTCCCATGTAGTCGACCGCAGTTCGCGTCCCAGACCCAGGGGCGCGTGTGTGTGCCTGCCCAAGATCCCGAGAGGAGAATGGAGGAGAAGGGATTGCGGCGTGACCATCCCGGTGATTTCTCGCTTTATGTCTCTATGTCTCTCTCTGTCTGTCTGGCGAGCGCACGCGCCCTATAGTGAAAACCTCTCCAAAAATAAATAAATAAATAAATAAAAAGCCTGTGTAATTTAATTTTGTCTTAATCACCACACCCCACTCCATTGTTTTCGTGCCATCTATTTTCCTAGTACGTCATTCTCTTAAGCCAACCTGAGAATACCTTTTTCTCAGTCTCTAATATATAATCTACATAACTCTTTGGTCAAAGAAGGCTCTACCAGTTCTATATAATAGCCAAAGTGATTTTGCCATATTTTTTAAAAAGAGAATTTTTTATTTTATTTATTCATACTTTAAAAATATATATATATATGACCAGAGAGAGGCACACAGAGAGGGAAAGTGAGAAAGCAAGCCACCACCAGGTCCAGGACTTGAACCATGGTCAGCCATGTGGGAGTCCAGTGCCTTAACTACCATGCCACCTGCTGGTCCCATTTTGCCATTTAAAAAATTTTTTTAAAAATAATTTTATTATTTTTTTTAGATGTTTACAATAGGGTGCATGCGCTTGCCAGAGAGAGAGACAGAGAGAGGGAAAGTGAGAAATCACCCCTCAGTGGGTATGGCCATGCTGCAGTCCCTTCTCCTCCATTCTCTTCTTGGGATTTTGGGCATGCTTGTATACGTGCCTGACATGATTTTCAAGTTGCCTTGTCCAAAACTCAAGCTGTGGTCCGCCATGTGGGAATCCAACACCTTGGTATTTTTATCCAAAAGAATGATAAAATTTATTGGGTTCCAAATTTAATACTTTGAAGTCCTAGTTCCATTGCCATAGCAAATGGATACATTTAAAAAATATATATATGCCTAGGGGCCAGCAGGTGCTGTGGTGGTCAAGGGCGCTGGACTCCCACATGGCTGACCACAGTTCAAGTCCTGGACATAGTGACTTGATTTCTTACTTTCCCTCTGTCTTTCTTGCTCTGTCTCTCTCTGGTTAGAGTAAAATAAATAAATAAGTAAGTAAATAAAGTTAAATAAAATAATTCTTTTTAAAAAATATACCTAGGGACCAGCAGGTGGCATGATGATTGAGGCACTGGACATTCCCACATGGCCGACCATGGTTCAAGTCCTGGACCTGGTGGCTTGCTTTCTCACTTTCCCTCTTTCTCTCTCTCTCTCTCTCTGTGTCTCTCTCTGGTCAAATTAAAATAAAATGAATGAATAAATGAAATAAAATAAATAATTTTTTAAAAACTTAAAAAAAATATACCTTACAAGGTTCAGATTTCCTCATCTCCTAAGTGTTTAATTCCATTATTAAAAAAAAAAAAACTACTTAAGTATGTTAATTAAACACAAGTTGTACTTTAATGTTTCTGTTCTTAAATAATTTTTGCAAGTTTGAGTACCAGGTGATTATTTTTTGTTCACTTTTTTCTTTAGTTCCATGCGATGGATACGTTGTATAGGCACAGCTATGATTTGAGCAGTGCTATTAGCGTCTTGGTACCACTTGGAGGACCTGTTCTATGTAGAGATGAAATGGAAGAATGGTCAGCCTCTGAAGCTAGCTTGTTTGAGGAGGCACTGGAAAAATATGGCAAAGACTTCAACGATATACGTCAAGACTTCGTAAGTAGAATGTTGTGAATAAAATAAAATGTCGAGGTGTAAATATTTGCTCTATTTTAGAAATCTGTGGCCTGAAAAACCCATGTAGCACTAATTTAGCCAGCCTGTGGCTTAGTAATTTTATTTATTTATTTTAGTTTTGTGATAAGGGCACATGTGCTTGCCAGAGAGAGACTGGGGTGGGGAGAATGCGAGAAATCATCCTCAAGAGGGGATAGCCCCACTGCAGTCCCTTCTTCCTTCTCTTGGGATTTTGGGCACGCACATGCATTCATTGTATTCTTTAAGCTGCTGGGCCTCAGACTCAAACTGCTCATCTGCCCTAACTAGTACACTAATTTTTAACTGCTCAAGTTAGAATGAAGACTAGTATAGAAAGGGAGAAACTGACTTTTGATTAGTTAACTTGGTAAGACCCGATGTCAGACACCCTGAGTTCCTGGCATTACACTGGCAGTGTGCATTTCCTCTCATTACCACTCTGAGTTACAAGTTAGTCGCTGTCACTGAGTAATTCTGTCTCTGCTTTTAGGCTTATTGTTCTGCTTTAAACCTTTGATTTCTTTTAAACCATTTATAAACCTTAAATATTTTTTAAATTGTCTTACTATTAGGTTGTTGGAAAATTCATGGCATATTTTTTGTGTTTTTCTATGCAAAAATGTGTCATGACTTTTCTGACAACCTAATAATTGTTGAGCCTGAATATGATGCAGACTAACTATGGAGATGACTCTACGAAGCAGAGTACTATGCAAAAATATGAATTTTTGTTTGTTTTGTGTGTGTATGTGTGTGTGTGTGCGTGTGTGTGTGTGTGTGTGTGTGAGTGAGAGAGAGAGAGAGAGAAAGCAACCACCAGTGAGGTGTAGTTACACCACAACCTTTTCCCTACTTTTCTCTATACCATCAGAATATTGGTAATATACACACCTAGTGTGTCTTTTCAAGTCTCTAGGACTGGAATTTGAGCTGTGTCAGCCATATTGGATCTGGTTCCTACTACATAGCACTTAACCACTGTGGTATCAGGCCCTACTTTTATTATAAGTTTCTATGATATCATACTTACTATTTAAAATTATGTTTTTCAAGTTTTATTGGTTTGTAATTGACAAAATAAAACATATATTCAAGGTGTACAATGTGATGACTTGATACACATCTACATTGTGAAATAATTACCCCATTTAAATGAACACATCTGTCCGTGCATGTAGTTACCATTTGTGTGTTTGTGGTAAGATCTGTTCTCTCAGCATTATAACTTATGTATTAGTTCATCTTATCTACTAGATTACATGAGAAGACCTTTGACAGAATCTTCTCACGTTACGATCCACCCCCTCCCCAACCCTCTAGCTCTCTAGGACCCTGGGCGTGATACGTGTGTGCAGGTACCCAGCTTGTTTCAGGGTGACGGGGGGTCTGAGCCCAGGTCTTCCATGTGACTCCAGCACCGTGGAGTGGTGTGCTGTCACTGGCGCCATCGTGGCTCAGCCTGGACTTGCTGTCTTCAGTGAAGTTTATAATCTCTGTGACATGGAAAATTCTTATTTAAGAAGTTCATAAATACCTTTCTGTGGAAGTCATCTTTTATTTTAAATTATGAAAACACTTTATATATACATCACATTTGTATGAGCCAATGCCCTTCCTGCCTTTTGTTGCATCTTTTCTGAATTATGGCTAAAGAAAAATGATTGCTTATCAGAATGAGTAGATATGTTAAATCCCAAGCACTGTAATTAAAGCTATTAGTGTCACTAACATTTGTTCTCTTGGCAAAACCTCACCCATACCCAAATTGTTATATGCCATGATTTAAATTTAGAGGATGTGCAGCTGAGAATTTTAAATTACATTGGTGATATTTAGATGGTCTGAATAACATAATGTTACAATATGTTAATGTAATGTAAACTGTTATTAATATAGTAGTTATTAATATAATAGAGCTCTATTACTATATAGAACTTGTGGGAACAAAATCTGCAATTCTGATAAAGGAGTAGAGAATGAGAAACACTGCAGTAAAGTGCACTACTTTTTTCTGTACTGAGCCTGACACCCTCTTTTTAGTTCTAGTAATCGTTCTGAATTCAGTTGGGTTAATCAATGTTCATTGATCACCTGTAACACACCAGGCCCTCAGCTAGGCACTTGGCAGGTAACAGAACTTCAATGTGATCCTTATTTCAGGAAATTGCTTTATAGTCATGATCAAAAGGTTCAAAGACACCCAAGAAAACTATAATGCCATTATTTGGATGAATAAATGTTATTGGGGGTGTTGGGAGGGGTTTAATTGTGCCAGTCAGATATGGAGAGGCTTCACAGAGGCATTTTAACTGGAAGTCTGATGGCAGTGAGGGAAAACAGCAGATGGTAGATTAGAAACTATGCTATGAAACTTGGAGAAACACTCCTTGCCACTTAACACAGGACTGGGAAATACTTACGTGAACAGTAGACTTGGGCATTATGCTTGGACATAGAGGCTGACATTGGTATGAGATAAAATTTCCTAGGTGAAAACAAGTAGAACAGTAATAATGCTATTAGATAGTTTCCCATTACCTTCATGAGCCAGTTCAACTTTTGTTCTGCTTCAGCTTGTTTGAATGGAAACCTTATTAAAACATTAAGTAACTTGTGAAGGTGAGAGAACAAACAGACTTCAGATTGGGCTTCCAAGGATGACTGATAGTCATACGTCGGGTCAGCTAAATAAACTGATGTCCCTGTTGTGATCGGAAACATAATTGCTGAATTAGAAAGCTGTCACTCTTCCTCTGGCTTCAAGATACACTGTCTGCTGTGACCAGCAGGGCGTTCATAGCAAAAGTTTCTTGTCTCTTGCCAGTGCATTATGGTGCCACCTAAATTATATCTAGCATCTTAATTAGATGCAAAGGAGTCTGGGAAATGTGGGTTTTAGCTCTGCAGACTGCATCTTAGAACGTGGTTAGAATGCTAGTTGAGGAGCCAATCCACATTAGATTTGTTGTGTTGTGGAGACTGGGATTGGCCACCAGTATCAAAAACAGTAAACAAGGTAGAACGTCAGGAGGTTAACTGCTCCAAAGAGTTTTGTCTGTCTGTAATAGTGGGTATTCTAAAACTAATCCTCACTTCCCCCTGTGGTTGTAAAAATCACTATAAACCCAGTAGAAAACAAAACAGACACACACACACAAGTCACCTACAATACCATCACAGGTACTTGGCGTTGCAGGGGTACGATAAGCAGCCGTCTGTTCCCATTCTTGTGTTCTGTGCCACCTCAGCAGGCCGTGTGCTGTAGGAGCTGTTGGCTCCGGAACCATTTGGTACCTCCTAGCTCTGCTCCAACAACATGGATGCCTTGCATACCATCCCTCTAGCCCTGATTTTAGGTCTTAAATTATATCTGATTGGCAGAAATAAATCACAAGGGTCTCCTAGAAATACAGCATTTGGCTTTCTGTCTTTTGCAGTTAGGAAAGTGATCTAGATAGGACGAAGTTGGAAAGGAGACTGAGCAGACCTCAGTGGGAGACAATAGAGTCCATTTGACTGAGCTAGCTTAAGCAGAATGAAGTTTCTTACCAGGCTAGAAGGTTAACAGAACCTCCGGGAGGGCAGGGATCCAGGTTTCGATGACTCCCAGCTAGGAACTGTGAAGCCAAGAGTACAACCTAACCCTGCAACAGCACCATTTTAGTTACTTTTAGAATAGTGTGCTGTATTTTACCAAATTTGTATTAGCTAGAGGGCCTTTGGTTACAGTGGAGAGAGGCCCTTTCTCTTTCTACTCAGATTAGTAAGCCAGATGTTCTCCTTAATGTTGGCTCTCCTAAAGGATCTCCCTTCCTCCCTGTGCTTCAGAGCCTCTTCTCCATGAAGGGACTGAAGCGCTGCTGCTGTTTTATTCTGTGTGGTGCCAGTGTATAATGCCAAGCCATCTGCCACATTCAGAGTTTTTCCCTCTGCAGTGGATGTGACTCGGGGAGCTCCTGTAAAGCTGTACAGCTGATGGAGAAGCGTATGGCAGCAGGAGACACATGGATGTACAGCCTTCACGACCTACCACATCCGCTTCCTGATAAGAGAGTGGTTGTGCTGGGCACAGCTGGTTAGGACTTTTGTATTAGACAAAGCGGGTTTCATGGCAGTGCTCAGTTTACGTGGTCACTAGACCTTTGCTCAGGCTTCTAGGGAAATGCATATGGGGGCCCATTTCTCAAAAAGAAGAGTAGACAGTAAGAGCTCTTAATATTCCTAAAAACTCTCGGGGTCTGTGCCATGACCGTCCTATGAGATCTTACAGAAGCCTTCTGACACCACCTTTCACCACTGTCAACCCCACTGTAGATAAACACAGTGCTTTTGAGAAAACGGTTTGCTTTAGCTGTGATCCAAATGTCAATGGCTATGCTGATCTGGTCCTGTAAGGAGACTGTGTATGTAACTACTGTTGGAGTTCCAGCCAGATAAGCTTAAAATAATTTATTTTCTCTAAAATCCATCTGTTTTCTCTTCAGACCAAACAGGTGAGTAGTGAGGAGGTGATAGGGTATTGTCCATGAGTGTCACAAACAGACCCCTCGCTGCATGGAGTCTGGGCAGTACTGTTTTAACTCTAATCTTTATAACGTGCTAGGGCAAACTATTGGTAGATGGGAGTCTGTGATAGGGCTGAGTCCTCCTCTGTAAAAGCTGTTGCACAGCCCAGGAGTGTGTCATCAGTCATTGCTATCACTTTTTTACAGGACTGAAAGTTTGATCTACCTTCATTTGAATCTTGGAAAGCTAACAGATTCTCCCTCCACCCAAGAACTCATTGTGTGTGTGTGTGTTTTAAGAATTGTTTTATTTAACTTTATTATTATTTTCCAGTTTGATCAGACACACACACACACACACACACACACACACAGGGAGAGAGGGAAAGTGAGAAAGCAAGCTACGAGGTCTGGGACTCTATCCACGGTCGGTCATATGCGAGTCCATTGCCCTTAACCACCATGCCACTGGCCAGCCCCAAATACATGTTTTGACTGTGGTCTTGTGACTAGGAGTTCATTTGGCCATTTTAAAATATTTCTTGGAAACAGCAAAGGTTGTTTTCCAGTAGGAAGCATGCTCAGCCACATTTTTTTTCCTTTTAGAATTTAGGCTTTTATTTTTAACGAAGTAGGTCAAAATAGAGCAGTTTTGAAAAAGATTAGAAATATTGCTGGAGACCAAGTGACTTCTGGCCATAGCTGGCATCTTTGGAAGCTGAAGTTACTCAAGCTACAGTTATTTAAATATCATATCTAGAATTGTGCTGCAGCCCCACCTGTAGCCTGAGAACTTCTGAGTAGGTCATGAAGTAGCATCTGTCACAATGTATACAGTTTCTAGTAAATAGGTAAGAAATGGGATGTTTATTGTTCTTTTTTGTTTTTTTTTGTTTGTTTGTTTGGTTTTTTTTTGAGAGGTTTTTGCTATAGGGCACGTGCACTCCCCAGACAAAGAGAGACGGAGAGACAGAAAGCGGGAAATCACCCCCTGGGGGGATGGTCACGCCGCAATCCCTTCTACTCCGTACTCCTCTTGGGATCTTGGGCACGCACGCACACGCGCCCGGTGTGAGTTTTAAGCCACCAGGTCTGGTACGCGAACCATGATCGACTACGTGGGAGTCCAGCAACATAGCCATTATGTTAACTGCTGGTCCCTTTATTGTTCTCTTACTTGTTTAGGTACCTTTTTCCAGGAATTAATTTCAGCTTTCTCAAGTGAGTCTTCATTTATTCTAGAATGAGTCTTCCATATGTGCTTCATTATTTAAAGGAAAGAACTTTCTACCATAGCTTATTTTCATTTTCCTGTTATGTATTTTTTCAGCTCCCTTGGAAATCATTGACTAGCATCATTGAATATTATTATATGTGGAAAACTACTGACAGATATGTACAGCAGGTAATTTCTTCATATTGCTCCATATTGCTATATCTGTTTCTATGTTAATAAGATTGTACTAGTAATTTTATTTGTTTAAAAAGATTTTGCCAGTGGGCATGTGTGCTTTCACTGGTGAGAGACAGAGAAACAGAGAGAAAAGATGAGAAAGTAGTTCCTCCTGCCCCATGGGAAATAGTCATGCCAAATCCCTTTTTCTCCATTTCTCCCTCCTTACAGGATTTTAAGCATATGCACTTGTGTACCTAGTGTGTTTTCAATCCACCAAGTTTGGGACTCAAGTGCACCATTGGGATCTAGCAGCTCCTGGCTCGCCTCTACTTATTTTAATTTAGTTCAACTACATGCTTCATATCTTTGAGATAATATTTTTAAGATTTTAATCTTTTTTTTTTTTTTGAGAGAGTTTTTTTTTTTTGCTATAGTGTACATGCACTTGCCTGAGAGACAGAGAAAGACAGACAGAAGGCAAGAAATCATCCCCCAGGGGTGATGGCCTCACTTTAATCCCTCTTCCACCGTTCTCCTCTTGGGATTTTGGGCACCGATGCACACTCATCCGGCGTGAGTTTTTAGCCACCAAATCCAAGACCTGAAGCACGGTCAACCATGAGGGAGTCCAGCGTCATAACAATCACACCATCTGCTGGTCCCAAGATTTTAATCTTAATATTCCCTTGATTTCTGCGTTCATTATGATAAATATTTTGGGAAAGCAATAGGGAACGATGACATTAGAAAGTCATTATTTTCCTTTATGTGACTGGTGCTTTCAACTCTTTGGGAGCTTAGTTGATGGGAATTACCAAAGATGTGATATTAACACACACTTTTTGAATAAGTTATTCTTATGCAGAATGGAAATTTAGGGCAGCGCCATCAATTATATCCAATATAATTTGGACTATTTTAAGAGATCATCCGAAACGTCTTTACATGACATTTGTGTCGATACATCACTCAAGTCTTTGATCTTAATTGTATTGGGTGGTTGGGAAAGTCATGACACATGTTTGCATAAAAAAAACCATGTCATGACTTTCCCAACTACCTATAGTAAACATACTGGTTTGATGCTTTGTTACTGTACATAAGATCTTTCTCCAAAATGGTTTTCTTTTTTCCTTCTCTTGTTTTTTGTCTTTTTTTTTTTTTTTTAAGAAATATTTTTGCTATAGAGCATGTGTGCTAGCCAGAGAGCCAGACAGAGAGACAGAAAGTGAGAAATCACACCCCGGGGGTATGGCCACATCGCAATCCATTCCCTTCTTAGGACTTTGAGCATAAACGCACACACACCTGGTGTGAGGTTTAAGTTACCGGATTTGGGATTTAAACAACGGTCAACTACATTAGAGTCCAGTGATGTAACCATTACATCATCTGCTGGTCCCAAGGATCACTTTAAAAAGTGTAATTGTGAGTTTACAAATAGTAAATAGATACGCGTGACTTACTGAAAAAGTTTCAGCGTTAGTATCATATATTATTTAAATGACCATATAGTGTAGAAACCTGTGTTATTCACATTTAAAAGGATCCCTAAAGATGATGAAATGATGATATCAAGAATGGCTGAAAGGCCAACTCTGTAGACAGTGGTTAAGGTAACTGCATCTCACATGGTTGACTGTGGTTCAATTCCCATCCCTGGCAGATTGCAAAACATACTGGGCACATGTCCCCCAAATCTCGACAGAACAGAGAAATGGAGGAGAGAAGGGATTGTGGCATGATCATGACATATAAGAGATTCTTTCCTGCTGCCTCTGAAGAGCAAAAATGCTCTCTGAAAATGAAAAAGAAATTAAAATACAAAGAAGAGCTCAAAGTATTTGGATAAAATGATTTCTAAACATTTCAATTTTGTTCTAAAAGTTTCAAATTGTCCTCTAATTTTTTTTCTCAGTGGGAAATTTGAAACTAGCCTTATATTCTGATTAGTCTTATTTTTGAACATCAAGCTAGTGTTATTTTCCTTCCCCATTTGCATTCGTTATTGTGCTGACCAGTGTTAGATGTGATTATATAATCTTCCCTGCATCTGGCTCCTAATTGGCTCCAGTGAAATCTTATGTGGTTTCTGCCAAAATGTAAAGTTTACTGCATATCTTCCAACATTCGAGGCTGAATGTGCATGTATTATAAATCTGCTCAGAATAGCTGTAATCTATTTCTCTTACATAGACTTTGGAAACTAATAATTTCTGAATATTTCTTCTAAAAGCAAAGATTGTGATCTTTTCTTTTGGGGGCGAGGAGAAGTTTTTGCTATAGGGGGCGTGCACTCGCCAGAAAGACAGAGAGAGACAGAGAGATAGAAAGCCAGAAATCACCCCCTAGGGGGGATGGCCATGTTGCAATCCCTTCTCCTCCATTCTCCTCTCGAGATCTTGGGCATGCACGCACACGTGCCTGGCATGAGTTTAATCCACCGGGTCCGGTACTTGAACTGCAGTTGACTACATGTGAGTCCAGTGACATAGCCATTACGCTAACTGCATAATCTTGGTCCCCAAGATTGTGTCCCCCCCCCCACCCTGCAGAATGGCAAGCAAGAAATAAAGTAAAAACTAAATTTTAAAAGTACAAACTGTTACTTTAGAAGTCCTCTTGTTCGTCCATGCAGGAATGAGAAATGGAGTTGCTCATTGCTTTATTTTTTAAAAAATCTATGTCTGAAATGTTCTTAATATTACAGTTTTCTACCTTTGATTCTAGTGACTTTTTAAATAAGTTCCTATAGTTTAATAATATGCATATGAAAGAAAAACTTGCCTGAAAATGACCGTTTACTTATAACCAGCATTATGCCTTAATACTTCTTTTTAAGACAATGAAGGGGCAATTATTATTAGGCATACTTGTAAAATATTTTATCCATTTTTTTGAATTTTTAGAAACGTCTAAAGGCAGCAGAAGCTGAGAGTAAACTGAAACAAGTATATATCCCCACTTAGTAAGTAATGGAAATTTTTACAAGTATTTGTCATGCTCTTAATTCTGTCATTATAAAACATGTCATTTTGTTTAGGT